TACTAGTAGTAACAGGTGCCTTACTAGTAGTAACAAGAAGCTACTAGGGATTTCCCGCAATCAGTTGCGGCCTTCCAGGTCGCCTTCCATGCGCGGCTTCGTGCGGCAGCGGCACAGCCCAGGAACTTACAGGCCTCTTTCGAAGAATCGCAGCGGACGGCGATGCGGCGATGGGGCATCCAAGTAGAATTGCTGTCATAGCCATCAGGTAGAAGATTGGTAGGCAGGATTCCTTCATGTTCTATGGCCTTTACCACAGAGATCGATTCTTTTGATGATAGAAATGATATAGAACCTAAAGGTCCACGATTTGACATGTGTGACAATTGAAAGAACCATGAAGGTCACCTGCTTTGAGCACGTGGGCTGTTGTTTCAGACACATGTCCAAGTCAGATGCGAGCAGTGTGTTTTTGATTCAATACGAGGCTTCAATACTCTAGACAGTCGAGATATCACATCCAAGGCTGAGGAGTGAAGCCTCATGGCTCACTTGTCAATTCGTGCTCGCGGCTCGCCATGCTTAAGGCTGTGGGACGTCTGATGGCAACCTGGGGCCACGCCGCTTGGGCAGGAGAACTGCATGAAAGCTGGCCTCCAACCGATGGCCTCCAACGTAATAGCAATGGCTTCCAACCTTATAGCGATGGCGCCTCCAACCTACTAGCCATGGCCTCCAACCTAAGAGCGATGGCCTCGAACCTACTAGCGATGGCCTCCAACCTAATTAGGTGCTATTGATTGCCGGCATCCGACGACTTATGACGACTTACATGACACCCATTGACATGTTATCGACTAGTCGTCCACGCCATGGAACACCTGGTTTGCCATATCAACAAAGTCGCAAAGAAGATCAAAGAAGGGCTCTGAAACTTTTTTTGATTGGGCCGTCTGTGCCCAGACACCGATGTCGAAGCCCATGCTACACAGCGCCATGAAAGTCCTGGCCAGCCAAGTCTGCAGGGAGCCTCAGGGAAGAAAGACTCGATAGTCAGAGTCTATGCAGGACACATGACACGTGTGCTTATGAGTCCCATGGGGTTTCGGACTGAGGTAGAGGATGGGTGTGGTGACCAAAAAGGCAGAACGGTTCGAGTTCGGAGCATCACTTTAATGAGTATCCAGTATCCACAATCATTCTTGGCTTTCCCAGTTTCAATGGCGTGCACTCTTGAGTACTTTCCCCGAGAAACTTAGCAAAAGACGAATAGACTTCATGGAAACAAGCCCAGTTGCCGGGTGTGGTCTCCGAATTGGAGGGCATCGCTTCTAGGTTGAAGGCCATCGCTAGTAGCTTGGAGGCCATTACTAGTTCCTTGTCCACACTCCTTCATCTCACCCCAGGTTGGCGTCTAGCACTGCAGCTTGGCACATCCCCCGCGTCTGATGTGGCACTGCTGAACCAGGCCGCGACCGTTGCCGTGCGTCACTTGGCAAGCGACGTGCGACACTGAAAGATGTCATGTGCACGTTGAATGGGCTCGGAATCATCGTGTCGTATGTTCCAGAAGAACCACAAGTAGACCTCCTTCAGTCAGTTTTTGTGCAGTGTACCACCATGGTCTATGCTTTTGTGACCGCTCTCTACCATGAACAAGGAGCTACTAGCAACAAGGGCATCGCTACTACTACCTACCTACCTACCTACCTACCCTACCCTAACCTAACCTACCCTACCTACCTACCTACCTACTAGTAACAAAGGGCTTTGCTACTAGGAGCCAATAGCTAGTAACAAGAAGCTACTAGTGGCTCCTGGCATCGCTATTAGGAGCAAAGACGCTACTAGGGGCGCCTGGCCGTACTACTAGTAAGAAGAAGCTACTAGAAGCCGGTTAGAAAGTCCTCCCGGCGCCGAGGTGCTGAGCGATGGCAAGAAGCTCTTGCACTGTTGAGCAATGGCAGCTTGAAGTATATACACAAGAGGATGCTACTAGTACAGGGCATCGCTACGAACGGAGCAAGGACGCTACTAGGGGCGCTCCTGTCCTTACAACTGGGAACAAGAGGACGCTACTAGTAACCAGAATTAGCCTCTGAGAATCAGTGAAGTCTCCCAAGACCTGGTGGTTTGGTGGTACAGTTTTTTAGACCTTTTAGCCCGTGGCCCTGCCTCCTTTGCTTAATCAAGTAGCTGCTGGCACTAGTGATGTGGTTTATTTTTTTTTGAAACTTAAGTGAAGCCGAAAGGTCTGGAACTGTTCTTGTGAGAAGGCTTTGGGCACCCCGTCTTTGTACTTCAACATTAGAGGGCTCGGCAATTCCGGGTCAAAGCTCTGCACAATTGTCATACTGTAAGGGGCTACTAGGAGCAGTGTCCGCTACTAGGGGCTCCTGGCATCGCTACTAGGAGCAAGGATGCTACTGTAATTGTTACTTCAATCCTTCAAGATCCGAACTGGAGGCTTTTCTAGTGCTGTCCAGCATTCAATTGTTTTAGTTCACGCATTTTGATAGCTGATTTGTGGCATACGCCATGATTGCCATGGTATGACCCACACAATCTCATGTGGTCAAACAACTCATTGAACCAACTATTGGTTGGCCACATGAAAGCTCTTTGAAATGTTGAAGTAATCTCAAGGGTTAGAACAAGCAATGGCCTCCAGCCAAGAGCGATGCCCTCCAACTTAGAAGCGATGGCCTCCAACCTACTAGCGCTGGCCCCAAAGAATCTCAAGGGTTGGAACATCGCAAAGAATCAGACTTTGCCCAGTAGATAAGCTCCTAATGGCATCCTTGCTCCTAGTAGTAAGGCCAGGAGCCCCTAGTAGCGTCCTTGCTCCTAGTAGCGATGCCAGGAGCCCCTAGAGAATCCGCAACCTCGCGGAGATTAAAATCTTACCAAAGAAGTCCCGGCGCTACTAGGATCTACCATGTTTGGCTTGGGTCTTGGACCTGTATCTCACCCGGTTACTACCTAAACGATCAAATGGCCTTAAGTGAACCTGATTGGACGACCTAAGCAACTTCTGACGAGAACACTACTATACTGACTACTACTCCTACTATACTACGACTATGACTACGGGCTATCGCTACAGCGACTATGGAGTACTACGACTAGCACTAGTACTAGTACACCAACTTTGGGTCGTCCTTATTTTCTTGATGCTACCAGAAGAACGTCGGAAGCAGATCATAGTCCTGAAAGTCTATGCCACAAAGAGTCAAGACTGGGAGTTTTCGAATTCCACATTGACTTGCCCATATCGTCGCACCAGAATTACTTTCACGCTACTAGGAGCAAGGACGCTACTAGGGGCTTGTGGCATCGCTACTAGGAGCAAGAGGACGCTGCTAGGGGCGCTCCTGGCCGTACTACTAGGAGCAAGGACGCTACTAGTATGAAGATTCCGCTGCCAAAATTAGGGCGATTCCACCAGTGATTGTTTTCCCACTTTCCGTAAAAACACCACGGCGACGGCGACGGCGACGATGACGAGGACTACTACTACTACTACTCCTACTGCTCCTGCTCCTGCTACTGCTACTGCTACTCTACGACTTCAGAACCGCAAACAAAACAACTATATACCCGACTTTTGCGAGCTGCCGTCAGGTGACACTGATGGCGTGGCCGCTCTGGGTGTGGCGTTGGATGCTGCGCAAAAGGGACTCGCCTGGCAGCTGGCCCTGCAGGCTCTGGGCACTCGGCTTGAGGCGGACGGGATCGAAACGGTCGGGTCGGGCAGTTTTGGTCGGTTGAGTCAGTGTCGGGTCGGGCATGACCTAAGAAAACATATACATGGCATAGAGTCTAGAGGGGATAAAAGAGAAAGAGGACTTGACGCAACTTGATTCGTGCAGGGTTTGTGAATTCAACATTTCAGGAGAACCTTGTGTGATTCCCGCATACGTGGTGCCTGCATGGATTTGCTGTGGCCCGCCATCACATAGCGGCTTGGATATGTGTCATTTTAGTTCGTGGATATCATGTTGTTTGGTTTGAATAACTTTCGACAAAATCAAGTTGCCATAGAGCCGAAACGGGTTTCTTTCGGTGCAACGCGCCGGCCAGGCGGGTAGCAACGTGGTTTCTTGGAATGCCGCTTGCGGTGCCTGTGTGGGCCACTGGGAGGCGGTCTCGAGATGCGAGATGATCCTCGTTTGGGCCCTTACTCGACACATATGATTTTCAGGAATTTTGATAAGCCTATAGTAACAAGTGCCACGCTAGTAGTAACAGGTGCCTTACTAGTAGTAACAAAGAAGCTATTAGAATTAAATTTAAAGTAAATTAATAGCTTCTTTGTTACTACTAGTAAGGCACTTGTTACTAGAAGCGATGCACTTGTTCCTAGTAGCTTATTAATGCGTTTTAAATAGATTTTATGTAATTTAATATATAGCTACTAGTAACAAGTGCATCGCTTCTAGTAACAAGTGCCTTACTAGTAGTAACAAGAAGCTGCTAGTAACATATAGACTGGTTGCTCTCTCGAAGCATGTGATTCACCGAATTGGTTTTAGGGCCACTTCTATCATATATATATATATCGGTGATCAAAGCACCGTGGCATTGGTAGCACACGGAAAACCCCGCAGGTCAAAGGCTCCCCGTGTCACCGGACAACAACTCCAGGTGGTTTTAAACCTCTTGGAGGAGATGGTGACACGCAACATGAGTCTCCTGGCCCAAAAGGCTATGCACAGTCACACCTTTGATCAGTCTGTCAGTCAGGGATGAACGTTGGCAGCAAGGGCGTTGTGTTTAGGATCGTTTTGTTGGCATCCGGGTCTCAAGACTTTGTGTTCTAACTAATGGGTTTGACTGCTTGACATTCCTTTGCAAGGTCCAGATGTGGTGTCGTATACGGTAGCGGTGACGGCCTGTGCTCAACAGTTGCGCTGGCAGCAGATCTTGGTGCTACTCGAGAAGCTGCTCGGTCGGTCGTAGGGGTCACTCGGTCGGCCGGGGGACCGAGATGAACCGAGCCTGAGCTGCTAGAGCTGGTCGGCCGTTCTCAAACGTTTGTTTCCTTTGGGGGACGGGTGACACCATGTGAGACCGGCAGTTCACCTCCATAAGCCGACTGAAATGTCTATGTCTTCTTGTTTTAGGGTAATACCTTTAATCATGGCAGCGGACACATGCAGGCCGCCGGCCTGGAACGGATAAGAGATCCGGGATAAGAAGGAAATTACTTTCCAGATTTCTCTAGGAGCAAGAACGCTACTTGGGGCTCCTGGCCATACGACTAGGAGCAAGAACGCCACTACTGGAGGTTGCGGTCGCATTGCTTCGGGATTTTAATGTGCTACGTGTAAACTCACTTCCGTTCGAACTCACCTCCGTTCGAAGCCTGGTGCCGAGGTCCGGTGGAGGAGACCCTGTCACCATTTGGCATGCATGGCGAAGCCATGAGGTGATGGAAGTGGTGTGGGGGTTGCGTCCGAAAAAACCATGGTTGACGACTACTTCAAACAATCAAGCATACATACTTGTAATATGCATATATACATAACATTCCAACGTCCCCGAATCTGAGTACACTCAAATTTGATCTCGAGTCTCGCTCTCGATTCAGCATTTGCAGGACTTTATTGTTTGATGTGTTCAATTCAGACAAAGTACCACAAGATGTGAAGCGCTGAATGTAGGCTGAAGGGTTGTGCTTTGTATCTTGACGAAGGACACTGGGTGAAGTCATGTGCGTTGTGTTTGGCCTTGGAAATATGCGGATTCTGTGCTCTCAAGTTTTGCAGAGGCCTTGATGAGACAGCTCCCAGGATTTTACGCAGCCGTCAGCTTGCGCAAGACCTTGCAGAGGCGACTTGGGGAGGCCGTTAAAGGCTGACGATGGTATGTTGTTAATGTAGATGATGTCCTCAGTGATTGTGCAGGTGACGGTGACCTGAAAATACACAATTTGGCCTTTGGGCCTTGCCATGGCCGAAGAAGAACCTGGTATAGGTACTTGTTGAGCGCTTGTTTCGGGGTTCCACTGGATGGACACCATGAATCCTGATAATTTCAATCAACACTCTGGACACCCTTCAGGACTGGTGATAGGTTGAACAGGTTTTTCAGTTCTTTAGGCCCTTTAGGCTTTGAGACCATTTTACTTTTGACCTTTACCTGTTTTTCCAAAAAGCAACTCCAACAGTTCTTCAATTATGCGTCTTGGGGACAGCACGCTGGTCGAGGCTCGCAAATGCTGAAGACTGGCAGACAGGCTTTAACTTGGCGGTGCGAAACTAAGTTCACCGCTATGTGCTTTTGGCGAAACATTCTACTTGCCATCAAGACCCACTGGATTCTTGTAGACACCACTCCTTGAGTCATCACTGGTATATGTAGACTGTCCCGATCTCTTCGGCGCAGTCTTTAGGATAGATCCAACAAAGAACGCTACTAGGGGCTGCTGGCCATACTACTAGGAGCAAGGACGCTACTAGGGGCTCCTGGCCGTACTAGGAACAAGAAGCTACTAGATTCAACATGCCTTGAACGGGGCATGGCTTTTGCTTTGTTGACGCAGTCGGTGATGCCAGTGAACCGTTTCTTTGCAAGGCTTTGCACCCAACCAAGGTTTGCACCCAACAGTTTGCGAACTGATGAACTGCGTCTAGCTACTAATTAGTAGCGATGCACTTGTTACTAGTTATTTGTCAGTCCTGTATCGGATTCAGCACTTGGTCTCTCCGAGGTTTTATCCTCGCAGCTCCTGTGGCCATCTCTCTCTTCCATGGCTGGGTGGCCCAGTTCAGCGGAAGGTTCACAATCCAGAAATTTGGAAGCAGATTGGATTTGCACAAAAAGGATCGGTGTCAACTTGTTAGTGCAAAGCGACGCAAAGCGCCTTGCATCTAAAAGCAATGGCCTCCACCCTAGTAGCTTCTTGTTCCTAGTAGTGAGGCCAGGAGCCCCTAGTAGTGTCCTTGCATCACCAGACTCGGCCGGCCAGGAGTTGCAACACATCGCATCACGCTTGTACCGCCCAGTTCGGGAACGCTTCCGAAGGCCGGATGGGGATGATCCCGACGGTTCGTTCACTGTGCCTGGAGTCCTTTTGTGAACTCTTTCAGATGGCCTTCAACCTACTAGCGATTTGCTCATTTTGCTCCTGATAGTTCATTGTTCTTCAGCATTGAACAAAGAGATAGAAACCGAGCGAGCATTGTTTTGTCAGAGCTCCTCTTTGTTGCTAGATGTTTTCAGTTTCAAAACAGCCATCAGGAAGAGACTGGTGGGGAGAGTGCTGGTCTCGTGGAAGACAGTCCAGTTGTTGCGTTTTAAAGGCTTGACGGCACATTGGAGTCCCCTGCCGCCTTTAAGGGTCTTCGGTGCATTCGGTGCATACATGTGTTGACCAAACTTGTTCGGGTTTAAATCCACCTATCAATGCCAGAGGTCCAGATGCCAATCTCTCATCCATAACTAGTAGCGTCCTTGCTCCTAGTAGCGATGCCCTTTGTTCCTAGTAGC